CTCCTGCAAAGAGGGACACAGGACTGAGGCCTCTCTTGAATTCGTGACTCTTGCATTCTGTGGGACTTCCCTTGTTGGTGATAATGTCAGACCTCAAAAGACATTCTGGATCTCCCAGCAAACTATCTAACCAGCTCTCGCCTATACAATCTCTCCAAAATGGAGTTCCAAAGGCATCTTTGGACAGCGTCTCCATAATCTCCTGGTAGAGTCCTTCTTCCAAGAAATCCTGCTCCAGAGGAGATCATTGGTCTCAACATGTCTGAAAGAAAAAGTACAAATGTCTCCTATTCCCAAAAAGAGGAAAGACAGGAGCTGTGAGTGAGAACACAGACAACAGGGAATGGAGTGATGGATCTTGAGTCTAGCCTGTCTGTCAAGGGCCCCAGAGTAGTGACCTGTCTGGAATTGGCATCACAGAAACAGAGAACCCACTCCAGAAGGAACTGGGAAACCACAAGAGTTCAAACAGGTCACAAAACCTCTACCACTGCCCTCACACCTACCCGACAAAGTTCCCTAAAAAGCTCCTGGACTCACCTCCTTCTCCCCTCCACTCTATCCTGCACTGTCACCAAAATCTTGCACCTCATATTCTGCATTCTCATCTTGGAAAACCCCACACCATCCATCCAGTCCCTCCATGTAAGAATCCTAGTAGTAACCCCCGGGCCACCCCCCCCCCGGCCCCACTGCCTCAACTCAGGCATTACTTCCTGTCTGATCTCCTTCAAAATGTCTCCACTAACTTCCTCTTCTCTCTACCGACTCCATCTGACTCCAGGCTCCTTGTTGGCCTCTCCTTTCTCTTCCACACTAATCCTGAAGGGCTTTATAATAAACAGATCTGCCTACATCACTCCCCTGATTTAACCCTCCCATGGCTTCTTGCTTGAGAAAGAGAAATGCAAGTGTATTAGCCCAGCATTCTTTGTGCTGGCCACACAGAACTCCTGTGATTCCCTGAATCTGCCAGACTTTCTTACCTGTGCCTTGACTGGTCCCTCATGCTGGACTGTTCTTCCCGAGGTAACTCCTCTATGTCATTTTTTTTTTTTTTTTTTTGAGACAGAGCTCATTTTGTGTCCAGGCTAGAGTGAGTGCCGTGCGTCAGCCTAGCTCACAGCATCCTCAAACTCCTGGCTCGAGTGATCCTTCTGCCTCAGCCTCCGAGTAGCTGGGACTACAGGCATGCACCACATGCCAGGCTAATTTTTTTATATATATATATCATTGGCCAATTAATTTCTTTCTATTTATAGTAGAGACGGGTCTCGCTCTTGCTCAGGCTGGTTTTGAACTCCTGACCTTGAGCAATCCGCCCGCCTCGGCCTCCCAGAGAGCTAGGATTACAGGCGTGAGCCACCGCGCCCGGCCCTCTATGTCATTTAATACTGAGCTTGAGTATCACCCTCCTTGGAAAGCCTTCTCTGACAACCCTGCACCCTGTTCTGCTTTAAGTGCCCTGCCCTGTATTCTCTGAACAATGGCCAAGCACTTACTTTTCTTTACTGTAACTGGTTATGAGTGGGCTGACCCCTGACCAAAAAGCAAGCTCTTTGATGGGGACCCTTCATTGCTTATCTGTCTTCAGTGCCAGTGGGCCAAACCTGCCACACAGGAAAGGCTCACAGGACAGAGTAATTCCCACTTATGACACACTTGCTCTTGGGCAGAAGTGCCTCAGTTACTCCCCACAGCCCCCTGTAAGGTGAGTACGTTTCTCCTTTCTTACAGCTGAGTGAGCAGTGCAGTGAGGATCTGACCCGTGTGACCCCATACCCTCAATAACCAAGATGTGTGCTCTCTGGGATCCTCCATAGAGCATGAATTTCACTGCTCTACTCCATGCCTCCAGTACCCCCGTCCCTCCCCACCACCTCTCCTCCATCTTGCACCATCATCACATCTTTTCAAGCCTGCTCCTTTCGCTGAGATTTACTGGCTCACCATCTACTGAGTATCTGTGGGACTGTTTAATTTCTCTCAGCCCGCAATTGAAACTTGCCTTCCAAAACCACATCACTCTTGCCTCCACTCTTGTGTCCCACAATATCTGGCTCATTCCCCCGACCATACCTTTGCTCATGTTGTTCTCCCTGCCTAGAATGCACTGACAGATGTAACAGGCACCTCTTATGCACACAACGTGGTGTTAGTACTGGGGAATACAGGATGAATCAGCTAAGCTCTACTTTCTAGAGAGGTGCACTGTGAAAGGAGGAAAGACAAAAATGAAAACAAAGCAACGCAAGTGTTACTATTGGAGGTTAGTAAAGGCATGCCTGCCTGTTTGAAAATAGTTAATATGCTGAGGTGGCAAAAACAGGAAACAGGTTGCAAGAGGCTGTGCCTGGGTTAGTCACTTGCATGGAACACTGGTGTGCTGAAGAGGAGGCTGCAGAGGGCCCACATTCATGAGCTCGTGGGTGGTGAGCCAAGAAGAGAGCTGCAGACTCACTCATTTGTGTGGAACTTAAGACTCCTGTGGTCTCTGATTCAGGGCCCTCCTTCCCATGTAGATAAAATAACAATGAGAGAAGCTTCCGATGCCCAGGTAAGGCACCTGCTGCTGCTTTCTCCCACTTGGGGAATACCCTGGGAATACTCATTGCCTAACCTCATCCACCCAGAGGAACCCTGGCCTAGGAGATGGCCAAGTGGATGCTCTTGGTGGCATTCAGGCCTGGACTTGAGTCACTACCAGATGTGGCCATATGCTGTGTCCTGGCCTAAACAAATGGAGGTAAAAGAAGTAGACCAGGGGGTCGGTCCACATGCTCAGGGAGCACAAGGCTGGAAGGTAGAAAACCAACTCAGGGAGTGGAAGGCCTCCCATTGCTGAGTTCCAGAAGGAAAGAGGAGACACAAGACAGCCCTATGCTGAAAGCCCAGGTAGATGACAACATGGTGCCAGAGTGAGGGTCCATCCAAATGTCCTGATCCACACCAAGCCCCCGGGAACAGGGGATAGAAGCCAGCAAATGGCAGTGAAGCCTGGAAGCCAGGCATGGAGACATTTGGGTACATCTTCTGGAGGACTGGCCACAGCCTTTGGATGGAGGTCCTGAGGACAAAGGGTAAATGCAAGGGTCCCCCCACTCCATTCACTCACCAGGGCCAGTTGCTTTTGGGCTTCCTCTCACCAGGGCCTCCAGCCCTCCCGTGCCATCCAGGTGGGAGGTCAGATTGGGGCTTCGGGGGTCTGCAAGGAGAGAAGAGCACTGTCATCCAATCAAGCCTGTTGGCCAGGCTGGATTTCAGAAGGGTTCCCAGCATCACCAGAACCGATGATGGGCTCACTGGGCCTCAACTGTACAAACACTGGCTTACATTGAGCATCTGCTTCCCTTCTAGGGGTCTAGAATTTTGGTATATGCCAGGCAACAGAGGGGCCATGTGACCCGCCCCCAGTAAAAATCCTGGCACTGAACTCTTACGAGCTTCCCCGGGGTACAGCATTTCACATGCTGTCACACTTCATTGCCAGGGAAATTAAGTTCATTCCACATGACTGTACAGAGAGAATTCTGGAAGCTTGTGTCTGGCTTCCCTGGACTTCACTCTATGTATCTTCTTCACAAGTAGTGATGATCAACAATGTCTCTAGACATTGCCAGTGTCCCGTCAGCCAGCTGAGAACAGCTAGACTAGGTCATGCTGATTCTAAGAAGCTTAGGAGCTGAGATTTCATCCTACAGGTGATGGGAAGTGTAAGTAATCAGCAAGCAGGGCAGTGACTGGGGCCCTGGGACGAGAAACACTCACTCAGCAGGAAGAGATCCTGGTAGTTGTCCAGTGCTGTGTCCCAGAACAGGTCCCCCTGGTCCAGCCCCAGGTCCTCCCAATCTTCCAAGGTGAAGTCCATGGCCACGTCCTTGAGGGTCACAAATTCCTAAAACATAACACAACGCTGGTCACTCTCACTCGGGGGAGCTCACTCAAAGTAGTCCTAGCCCTCAATTTTCTAGGCTTTTGGCAAAAATCATCCTGTTCTCAGCTGTAAAACAGGAATGAGAGCAGGAGTGACTCCATGACAGGCTGCACTTCCTGGAGTAAGTCTAAGTTTCGGTTTCCTGAAACTTTGCCTACTACACCCTTCCCCGAAGTGACACCGACAACACCCTTCCCCGAAATGACGCGTGCTGCTTTTGAAGGAGCCAATCAGGAGCCAACACGATCAGCCACTTTTAAAGGAACCAATGGACTAAGGGGGGAGGGGGGAGGTGTACCCAGCGTGTATAACTTGCAGAAAAGGATAAAAGCTTCACTTATACCCCAGGGCAGGGTCCTGGTTCGTAGGGAGGCCACTGTGTTGGCGCTCTGGGACCTGGACCCTAGCTCGAGCTAGCCAATAAACTGTTTTGTGCTTTGCAGCCTCAGCGATTCTGCCTCTCTGTTCCTGGGGCCAAAGGAAACTGGCTCTAACACAGCCTCATGAGAAGAACCTTGAGATGGAAGAAATCGGAAACCTCTATATTGTGCCGGTAAGGAAACAAATCAACTCACAGTCACACAGGTAGCAATTAAATCCAGGTCTTCCTGATACTAAAATCCATGTATTTCTTGCTCTTTTTTTTAGTGTTCATTCAAGATTTTTAAGTTTTATTTATCATGGAAATTTTCAAACATATGTACAAGTAGAAAGATGCATGTAATTAACTCCCATGGATTCATGACCCAGGGATCATCTGATTTCACCTGTGACTATTTCAGTATGAACAGTAACTCCTTAATATTACTGAATACATAGACCACATTAAAAGTCTGTATACAGATTTGTCTGACATCTCAATGCTATGTTTTCATAGCTAGCTTGTTTGATTCAGAATCCAAGGAGATCTGTACCCTGGATTTGGCTGATACAGCTCTGAAGGTTTTTAATCTGTGCCCGCTTTACAATTACATGCGCCTGATTTAAGGTCCCACATTCTGGGTGTGGCAGACTGCTTCCTCATGGTGTCACCTGGCTGCTCCCCTGGCTCCTGCATTTTCTATAAACTGGTTGGTAGAGCAGAGGCTGACTGGAGTCAGTACAGCTTTTGGGGGCAAGACCCCCTCACAGGTGGTGCCAGGTCCACTTCAGGCCATGAGAATACCTAAGGCTCATGTCCAGCTGTCCAACTTTTAGTGATGCCATCTTTCTTTATTTTAAAACTTCCTAGTTAATAGGTGTTTAGAATAAAATTTCAAATACTCAAGAAATAATGACAGCATGCTCCCATATGCTCTATCTCTAGGTGAAACTGTGACTTTTTGGTGTGTCCCATCCCCACCCCACAAAATATATACATAGATACACACTCATGTGCGCACACACACAGGCACGTTTTAGGGAAGAATGGAAACCAACTCTCTAGTCTGGATTTGAGGGTTGGCCCCTCTACCTTCCCGTGGGTGACTGTTGGTAAGCAAGTTGCGCGCCCCTCGTGAGCCCTATCTCGTCAGGCAACTTCATTCCAGCTTACGCTGTCCGTCCCAACCCTCCAGGTGCCCAACTACAAAGGCCCCCCTTTGACCAAGAGCTTTCTTTATGCTGGGAATGGACTCAACACTGTAGGTGCAGTGAGTCCCTGAACTGCCTGACTTCTCTCTGAGGCAAGATTATCCCTGATTTACAGAAGACTGAGACCCAGAGAATCAAAGTCACTCACCCAAAGTCACACTGTGTGTTAGTCCGTTTGCTGCTGCTATAACGGAATACCTGAGACTGGGTAATTTATAAAGAAAAGAAATTTATTTCCTACAGTTCTGAAAGTGGGAAAGTCCAAGGTCGAAGGGCTGCATCTGGTGAGGGCCTTCTTGGTGGTGGGGACTCTGCAGAGTCCTAAGGTAGCACAGGACATCACATAATGAGGGGGCTAGAGCATGCCAACTGGCTGTTATAACAGAGTCATTCTCATGCTAAGTAACCAACTCCTGTGATAATCCATTACCTCTTAAAGGCCCCACACCTCTTAATACTGTTACATCAGGACTTGAGTTTTGACATGAGTTTCTGAGGAGATAAAAGTTCAAACCCCAGCACAGTAAGTAGGTGGTGGAGGAGCGTACCCCACCATCTGCTATGTGACCCCCAGCAAGCTGACCAGTTAGTGGCTTGGCTTTGGAGTCAGAGGGACCCCGGTTCAGATGCTGCATCTATTAGCTGTGAGGCGCTGTTACTCCTCATCTCTAAACTAAGGCTGCTGTGAGGACAAAGTGAGCTGATACCCGTACAGTGCTCAGCAGGGACCCAACCCGCTAGGAAGCAGCTGAGCAAGTGGCATCTGTTGTCTACCCGTTTGTCCAATGATGACTGAGCAGCTACTATGAGCTGGCCCCTGAACAGGCACGGGATGCAGGAGAGAAGGAGGCAGCCAGTTCCTGCCCTCATGGGATTTAGTCACATTGACATTTGTGAAAATGCTTTGTAAACTCTAAGAATATTGCCGGGCGCGGTGGCTCACGCCTGTAATCCTAGCACTCTGGGAGGCCGAGGCAGGCAGATTGCTCCAGGTCAGGAGTTCAAAACCAGCCTGAGCAAGAGCAAGACCCTGTCTCTACTATAAATAGAAAGAAATGAATTGGCCAACTAATATATATATAGGAAAAATTAGCCGGGCATGGTGGTACATGCCTGTAGTCCCAGCTACTCGGGAGGCTGAGGCAGCAGGATCACTTGAGCCCAGGAGTGTGAGGTTGCTGTGAGCTAGGCTGACGCCATAGCACTCACTCTAGCCTGGGCAACAATGCGAGACTCTGTCTCAAAAAAAAAACCAAAAAAACAAAAAACAAACTCTAAGCGTATCAATTAACACACACACACACACACAAATACAGGTGTGTATAAAAGAATTGGTCATCTTCGAAGGATGACAGTCAGAAACCAATTCCTTATATTGTAAACTGAAACACAAAAGGAAAGAGTCAAGCATTTACCCACCTGTCCCATGTGAAGTATACCATTGCATAGCCAAATAGTAGATGAGGGGAGACGTCTTTTTAAAAAAATGTTCCAACTAATAAATGAAATGATAGCACTAGAACAGTACCATTTTGCAACCCCTGGTGAATGAACAGAAGATAAGGCAGTAAACATCAGCATCTGCCAGGATGACAAACATGGAGAACTAGACATTCTAGGACTCCTTCACCTCTTAGCAAAAGGATTGACCCTAAGTCAGACCAAGCCTCTGGATCCAGCTGCCAACTGGGAACAAACTGAACTCCACCCGGAGGATGGAACTGACAAAAACGAACTGAGAGAAATTCTACAGGTCAAACCGCCCTGGCTCTTCAAAGGACAAGCTGTTAAGAACAGAAGGGGATGCAGGAGCAATCTAGAAAGAGTCGTAAAAACATTTTTTAAAAAAGAGGGGGCAGGCCAGGCGTGGTGGCTCACGCCTGTAATCCTAGCACTCTGGGAGGCTGAGGCAGGCAGATTGCTCGAGGTCAGGAGTTTGAAACCAGCCTGAGTGAGACCCCATCTCTACTAAAAATAGAAAGAAATTGTGCTGCTCTCCACCTTTCAGCCTGCTGTTATCTGTCAGGAAGTTCTGTCAGCACCAGCATCAGACTATCTAAACTCCACCGCTTCTCACTCCCTCCATCTTGCACATCTTTCTCACCCAGATCATTGAAATGGTCCCTCTCCTTGACTCGCTGCTTCTGTCCTTCCCACCTTCTGTCTTTTTCCACAAAGCAGCCAGAGGAGAGTCCTGGTTAGTATATGCTTAATTTTTAGAAAATCTTTTTATGTAAATAAAGCACAGAAGCAGAAACCAACATGCATCAAATATATGACCTAATGAAGACAAATAACCACTTCGTTCTAGAATGAGAACTTTTTTTGCCACTCATCCCAGAAGTCCTTTGTGGACCCCATCAGAGCCTCTCCTATCCCTCATAAGGATGATTTTTATATTTATTACTTGCCTATGGGTTTTTTTAAAATAATACTTCATTACCCCAAAAGCATGCCCATTGCCCTCTTTTTTTTTTTTGAGACAGAGTCTCACTCTGTTGTCCAGGCTAGAGTGAGTGCCGTGGCATCAGCCTAGCTTACAGCAACCTCAATCTCCTGGGCTCCAAGCGATTCCTACTCCCTCAGCCTCCTGAGTAGCTGGGACTACAGGCATGTGCCACCATGCCCAGCTAATTTTTGTATATATATTTTAGTTGGTCAAATC